AATGCTCGGGCGGCAACCCTGAAACATGATCGAACTTTACAATGTGGGGGGCAAGGCCTCCCGTTGAACCGGGGTGAGACTCTTTCGCTCGCGATATCTCCGTACCTCGACATCTCGATATCATGGCGCGCGGCTGGGTGGGGGGGGCGCTCGACATCTCGATGTCTCGATATCCGGGGCGGTGCAGGGCAGGGACTCGATATCTCGATATCTCGTTATCTCGACCTCGGAGGTGGGGCGGGGCGGGGACTCGAGATCTCGTTCTCTCGATGTCGGGGGCACGGCCAGGCGGGAACTCGACATCTCGACATCGGGGGGCGGGCCCGGGCGGGGACTCGACATCTCGACACCTCGATATCTCGATCTCTGAGGCGGTGTCGGGACACCTCGGTATGACAGCTTGTTGATATCCACAAGGCTGCTAGGAAAAGTAAGATGAGATATCGAGATATCGAACCCCGCCATCGGACACCCTCCTGAGAACAGCGCTCGTCGTCGTCACCCTCCTGACCTCCAAAATTGCAGGCCCTCCCAAAGCAGTCACCAAACGCAGCGGGTGACTGTTTTGGCGCGGGCGCCTTTTTCAAGCGATGGCCTGCTCCTCTTCCTCCTCCTCCTCCTCCGCCTCCTCCTCATCTTCCTCCTGCTCCTCATGCATGCCGACCTCCAAAAATCATGCTCGCCCAAAACAGTCACCATTCTCTTCGGGGGTCTGTTTTGGAGCGGCTGCCTTGTTGAGCCGACGACGTCCTCCTCCTCTTCCTCCTCCGCCTCGTCCTCCTCCGCCTGCTCCTTTTCCTCCTCCTCCTCCTCCTCCTCCTGCAAACCTCCACAAAAGCACGCCCGCCCAAAACAGTCACCCACCGCCTCGGGTGACTGTTTTGGCGCGGACGCCTTGTCTAGCCGACGGCATCCTCCTCCTCCTCCTCCCTTCTTTCGCCCTCCTCCGCCTTTCCTTCATCCGTTTCCTCCGCCTCCTCCTGCTCTTCGCCCAGTCGCTCAAGCAAACACGTCAATTTCAGGAGCGGAGACTCCCCAACATCCATCCGTTTCTCGCGGTCGACACCTTTCACATGCCATGTTCGGCCGCTAACACATGATCGGTCTTGTTCGTGTTGCTGAAGACAACCCCATGTCCCTCGTCACAGCAGGACGAACGAAGGAGCTTGCCGACCAGCGGGATTGCGCCATCCTGATGATGCCTTGCACAGGTATCAAGGAATGGGAGGGCCGAGATTTCCACACCCAAGGGGTTTCGGACATCATACAGCCATACACTTCGGGTGGAAGAGGGCACCTTACAATAATAGTAGCGCTGGAATATGCATTCAACTAGGTCGTCGACTAAGACGTCAAAACGTGTACTCAGTGGCGGCTGGACCGTCACATATTGTGAGGAGATATGGGGGCATACGGATCATGCCTGGAAATTCTGATATTTCGGCAATCTTGCATACGCACCTCCAATATATGCTGATGGTGAGCACCAACATCAGCAGCAAAACCAGTAATGAGACAGATTCGTCGCCGTGTCGATCCATGTTGTGCTAGAAGTGCCCCATCATCGGTTTGGACATCAACTCAGGCTGTGGAATTTAGGAAGATAATGCCTTCGCTGACCCCCGCCAACATAACAGTGAACCGTACCTTAGCAAGAAACATGAAACCACAGCTGAGATATGTTCTGATATGTTGCTCGACCTGAACCTAAAATCTCCGACTATCTTCTCTCCACTTACGGGCCAACCCTATTTGGCGCGGAGGGGGGCACGTCAACCTTGAACGCCTTCGCTATACCAAAAGGTCTTGGACCTAGAATCCAGCATTGTAGAATTGCCTGGAGACCAGGGCGAACACTACGACTCATCCCGAAGTGCGCCCCTCAAGAACCACGTCCCAATCAGATTGGAAATGCAATGTGGGTTCGAGACCTGAATAAGACCACCAGAAGTCAGCCGCTACTCTCCCAAAAGGTGTTGGTAGAAACGGATTCCACAAGGATCTGCAGGCCGCCATGAATTCCTAAGCCGAGTTTGTTGGCTGAGTGTGGTGACCATCGCTCGCCTACCGATCATTCTTATGACAAGTGGGCCGACGCTGTACAGTCGACTGGGCTGAAGCGCTTCGGACAATCCACCAGACCTTCGGATATACCATAACACAGACTTACAGTAGGAATGGCTTCGATTAGTTAGACAAACGAAACAACCCCGATTGGAGGCAACTGACTATTATGAAATATATGAAGCATTGCCCGGCTATGGTGGCACGTCTTGAGATCCTTGGGCTAATCAAGCGCGTCTCGAATCAACTACGGCAATGGGCCCGGCGACGACGAATCAAACACCGAGCACAACTGACTACACGACGAAGTACAGGAAACTAGAGCAGCAGGTCAACCAGCTGAGGTACAAAAACTGGCTTGATTCCGATCAGGACGATCAGCGGGAGTCAAGAACAAACAGTACAATACAAAATCATCATCCAGGCCCTCTGTGGACGAACTGCGACTCCATTAAGAGAGTGAAGAGAGTTCGGAAGGTGGCATGGAAGCTGAACGCATGCCCGACATGCACGACATGCTGAGACATGCTCTTTCTGGAGGGGGCCTTACCATAATGAGGGCGACTTCGATGGATATCACAACAGTAGGATACGGAAGCGTAGACACGCCCGAGGACGACGATGTGGCCAATCATGGACCTTCCCATCAGGATTGGCGCCCATTTTTCTCGAGACTGGTCACCCATCCCGACAGCGGAACCCAAAGTTTGGACTTGGAAGATGTACGTACGACGGAAACGACGAACGGCAAGCATTTCGCAGGAGCCACAACGTGCATCACATACAGAGGACAACGCGGCGGATAGATCTAGGCCGCGGTATCGATATCAACAGCACTCCCATCTCGACATGGAGATATCTAGTCCCCACCCAGCCCCGCCCCCGATATTGAGGATCGATCTATCGCGATATTGAGTCATCGCTCGGCCCCGCTCGCGATATCGAGATATCTAGATATCGAGATATCGAGTCTCCGCTCGGCCCCGGCCCCGATATATTCCTAGTCCTATCTTGTTATTACCTGGACCCCCCCCCACCCCACCCCTAAACCGGACCCCCCCCCAGGGACGCTCTGGACACCCTTTCGGACGTCTCGGCGGCCCCCTGGACGCCCTTGGAAAAGGTTCGGTGGCCCTTCCGGGCCTCCCAGGGCGCCTCGCTGGGCCTTGCGAGCCGACTGAAGGCGATCAGAGGGATCGTCGGAGAAGCGCAAGAGAGACCCAAGACAGCACAAGAGCGCTCCAAGAGGAACCTCGATGGTCTGAAGACGGCCCAAGAGGCCCCCAAGACACTTCAAGAGGCCGTTAAGAGAGCCCCGAAAAAGCCCAAATCGTCACATTCCCTCAGGAAATACATTTGTTTTGCATATCCGCTTTTGGGGTCTTCGCAGCGTCCAAAACGGCCCATGGGCCCCCGATCTCGCCCCAAGACGGCCCAGGAGGCCCCCTAGAGGGTTTGGAGACGGCCCCAGAGGGCCCCAAGACTGCCCCAGATAGCCCCGAGACAGCCCACAAGAAGCCCAAGATGCCCCCAGAAGGCTCCCAAGAGAGACCCACGAAAGCCATGGGATACCTCCAAGAAGGCCACAGGAGGCCCGCAAGAGGGCCCTAGATGGCTGGAGAAGACCTCTGGAGGGCCCCAGGTCCCCAAGGCGGCCCAGGAAGCCCCCAGGACGGGCCAAGAGTGCGCCAGGACGGCCCAAAAGAGCCCCCAAAACGACCAAACGGCGTTCTCCTACGAAATACATCAAGCTGACCCGACGATCTTGGTTCCACGCTTGAGGCTTGAGGTTCCAGTAGTTCCCCGATCGAGAGAGACAGGCAATGGATCTATATTCGAAATTCGACGATCGAAGATTTCCTGAGTGTCTGGAGCCCTCCAGGCATACAGGAAGCGACCAAACATCGATGTGTTCGGAGCTACTGTGACTTCTTCGGCGTGTCATGGGAACGCTCCTTACTTCCTCTAAGGACCTTCGCGCGTGAAAAAAAAACTGCATTATTTCCCCATTCCTGCGCACAAGCGTGCAAGTGCATCATCCGAACGCGGTGTCAGCGGGCACCAGGGATATCGGAAAAATGGGCGGGTCGCCCGTCCAGGCCTCGAGGTCCTCCCTGCTGAAGCAAGCGATGAATTATGGCTTTGCCAGGGACGCGTCCCGAACAAGGCGCATGGCGCGAAGCGCCAATGCAGTCTTGTGTATATATATATATATATATATACATGGATCTATACATGTCTAATGAATTTGTATATCGAGATCGAGATATCGAGATATCGCCCAAGATGTCGGGATATAGACATATCGAGTCTCCGCCCAGCCCCGCCCCTGTTATCAATCGGAATATCGATATCGAGATATCGAGATATCAAGTCGTCCCGACCCCCACCAGGACGCCGTGTGACCACAATGGAACTTTGCGCAACCTCCAGTTTCGAGGACTACAAACTACTCCCAGTTGCAAATAATATCGACGACCCCCCCAACAAAAACCCTCTAGACCTCCCAAAACCACTGGAGACCTCCGAAACCCCTCTTTGAGCAGGGACTGACCGTCCCGGCATTCCTGTAGGCCTACCACGAAATTCTATCAGAACCCCAACATGTTCTGAAAACGAAAACAATGTGCTTAAAACATAAGACCGATGAGTTAAAATAAGACAGTCGGAGCCAGATATGTTCGAAACAAATTTCGCGAAGACCACAAAAGGTTTTTAGAACATTCTTCGGTGGGCCTATCGGCAAGCCAGGACGCTTCGCCACTGCTTGACCTCTGGGAATGACCGAACCCCTCCAGGCACCCTCGACACCTCGCGGAACCCCTCCCGAGAACTTCCAGAAGCCGCTGCCAACCTCCGACCACCGCCCGAAAAACCTCCACCGACAGCCAGAAACGCCCCCCCAGAGAGGCGCCCCGCCGGCCGTACCGGGCCGCCTCGACCGCTGCAGCGAGGAGAGGTCCACCGCCGTCACCACGGTCCTCGCAGCCGGTCTCGCAGCCGTGGCCCGCGCGGCGGCGCGCTGCTCGCGCTGCATCTCCTGCGAGGGGTGGTGGTGGTGCGCGGAGCTTCTTCGGCCAGTCGTGAGGTAGCCGGAAGGTTGTTGGAAGCTTTTCGACGTGCGTGGTCTTCAACGACCACCAGAGTCCCATCGACCATGGAATTCCAGAGACATCCAGAGAGGGGGGATACGGAGAGGAGGAGGAATCGGAGGACCTTCCGAGAGGTCCCAGGACAGAGCTTGATAGTACAAAGGGATCGGCCACCCATGGAATTGTTGGAATCTTCAGGCATTCGGAAACGCATGACATGTGAGGAAGTCTTGGGCGAGAGCCACGGTTTAGAAAAGAAGGATCAATGCGGGAAGCCTCTAATACAACTGTGCGTGGCGATGAGGCGAGAGCCAATACTCAACCATAATCTGTGCCAAATCCGTACCCGTACAACTGTTCAAACACGCGTAAGCCAATTGTGCGTGGTGCTTGGGCAAAGGCCGGATTCTGAAAACGATCCCCTCCCCGTCTGCAGCTGTCGCAGAGTCCGAGCGCTAGAATCATCTGCCGTAGGGAGACATGGAACGAAACGCTCAGACCGCCCGGAGACACTTCTGGTGGTGCGACGCGGTGGAGTTTCCCCCCACCCACCCACCCGCCGCTCCCAACAACAAACGGGGTGGCGGAGGATAATGCCGTAGCGCATTCACTGTTCCTCATCCACAGTTCCTCATGAATCCTCCTCTCCTCGCATCCCCCACTGTATTCTACGTACCTCCTGCCACCTCCACCACCTCCTCCTCCTCCTCCTCCTCCTCCTCCTCCTACTCGTCCTCTCGCTACATCTGCGATACATCTGTGCGCGCCCCCTCTCCCGTCCCCCTCCTTGTTATCCTTCTCGAGCTCTCTACATTTAGGATTGTAAGCGCGAGCGCTTCTTTCAAGGCCACAGACCGGGGATTCGCAGAATTGTTGGGAGCTCTCGCGCTATCTGGGGTCGCCACGTGACTTTTCTTGAGGCATCGGAAGTGTGGTTGGAGGTCCATACTGCCCGCGCATCCTCAGATTGACCCGAAATGCCGTCCAAGGTTTCTCTTGGGCGCCCCTTGAGCCGTCCTGGGGGGTCTGGGGACAGTCCAAGAGGCCGAACCCAATGAACATCATAATAGTAAGGTTCTTACATGATTTTCGCAAACTCACCTTTCCGATTCTAAGAGCGTCCAAGACATTCCAAGAGGCCCCCCAGGAAGGGGCCCAAGAAGCTCAATTCGACTCCATGGGGACCCCAAAGGTGCCCGCAGGAGGCTCCCAAGACGCAGCCCCCAAAAAGGCCCCAGAAGCTCCAAAGAGGCCTCGAAGAGGCGCCCACAAGGCCCCTCACGAGGCTGCAAAATGCATCCAAGAGGTCTCTGGTCCACCATCAAACACGGTGGCGGGCCGGGCTGAAAGCCACAAGATCCGCCGCCCCCTGTCGATTCGTCGCAGGGGTGCCTGGCGTGCTGGATCCTTTCGGTTTGGGTTTTTGTTTTTTGTCTAAAAGACCTCCCCCTGGGGCTTCGGCCCGTCCCGCCGGGGTCCCGGAAGGCCGCGTAAACCACCTCAGCGTCCACAACAAATCCTCCAAGACGGCTCAAGATGGCCTCCAAGATGGCCACGTTGACCCAAGATGGCCTCCAAGATGGCCTCCAAGATGGCCTCCAAGTCCACCCAAGATGGTCCAAGACGGCCTCCAAGACGGCCTTCGAGTGTCCAAGATACCTCCAAGTTCGCTGAAGAAGCATCCAAGACGGCCCAAGAGGCCTCCAAGCGGTCCTCCAGGAGGGCCCGAAGAGGCCAAAATCATATGTTTGAAAGATTTGGGCATTTGCTCCCTTTCGGCATTCCGACGACCCAAGACGGCCCAAGAGGCCCCCAAGATCGCCCCCACAGCGCCCAAGAGGCCTCCAAGATGGCCTCAAGACTGCCCAAGAGGCCCGCACGACGGCCCCAAGAGGGCGCCAAGACGACCCAAGAGGCCTCCAAGACGCCCAAGATGGCCTCCAAGACGGCCGTGGAGCACCCCAAGAGGGCCCCAAGTCGGCCCAGAGGGGCCCCCCAAATGGCTTCCGACGGCGTCAGACGGGCCAGGAACCCACCAAGATGGCCGAAGTTGGCTCGAAGCTGGCCCAAGACGGCACACGAGGCCTTCCAGAGGGCATAAGGCCAGGAAAAACCAAAAACATTGACTTTCCATTGGTTTTTGGCGGGTTTTGGCATTTGCTTCTTTTCGGCGTTCCGACGGGCCGAAACGGTCCAAGAGGCCCAAGGGCCAGGGGCCCACCAAGATGGCCGAAGTTGGCTCGAAGCTGGCCCAAGACGGCCCAAGAGGCCTCCAAGAGGGTCTCCAGGAAGGCCAGAAAAAGTCAAAAAACATATGTTCTATAGGTTCTTGAAGGATTTTGACATTTGCTTCTTTTCTGCCTTCCGACGGCCTGATGCGGCCTAAGAGCCCCCAGCGATCGCCCACAGATCGCCCAATATGCCTCTAAGATGGCCCCAGAACGGCCCAAGAGGCCCCCAAGAGGCCCCCAAGACGGCCCTGGAGGCTTTCAAGACGCCCAAGATGGCCTCCAAGACGGCCCTGGAGCATTCCAAGAGGGCCCCAAGTCGGCCCAGAGGGGCCCCCCAAACGGCATTCTGACGGCGTCGGACGGGCCAGGAGCCCACCAAAACGGCCGAAGATGGCCCTAAGATGGCCCAGGACGGCCCACGAGGCTCCCAAGAGGGCATCCAGAAAGGGCCGAAAAGGCCAATATCATTGATTTCCAAGTAATGTTTGAAGGATTGTGGCATTTGTTTTTTGTTCGGCCTTCCGACGGCCCGAGACGGCCCAAGTGCCCCCAAAGACCGCCCAAGGGGAACCCAAGACGGCCTAAGAGGCCCCAAGACGGCCCAGGAGGCCTCCACGCTCAAGATGGCCTCCAAGACGGCCCAAGAGCCCTCCAAGACGTCCTCCAAAAAGGCCCGAAATAATCAAAATGGCCCCCCGCACGGCCAAGATAACCTTCAAGATGCCCACGTGTTCCCCGAAGGTTTTCTAAACCGACTCGGGGAACACATGGGCCGATAGTTTGGCAGGTCTGGCCTCAACGTTCGGCCACATAGGCGTTTCCAGAAATGCAGGGGGCGGCGGTGATTCGCCGCAGGCGTCTTCGATCCGCCGCCCCCTGTCGATTCATCGCAGGGGTACCTGGCGTGCTGGATCCTTTCGGTTTTGGTTTTGGTTCTTTCCGAAAGGACTCCCCCTGGGGCTTCGGCCCGTCCCGCCGGGGCCCCGGAAGGCCGCGTAAACCACCTCAGCGTCCACAAACAATCCTCCAAGACGGCTCATGATGGCCTCCCAGATGGCCACGTTGGCCCAAGATGGCCTCCAAGATGGTCCACTATGGCCTCCAAGTCCGCCCAAGATGTTCCAAGACGGCCTCCGACACGGCCCAAGAGAGTCCAAGACGGCCCAAGAGGCCCCCCAGAGGCCTCCAAGACGGCCCAAGAGGCCTCCAAATCTTGGAGGCCTCTTGGGCCGTAGCGAGGAGGGCGAGAAGAAGTTCTGGGAGGGTGGAAGGACAACGGGGGGTGAGTAGGGAGGCGGACAGGACTGCAGCCTGACACAAAAGAACTGAATCCAAATTTCGCAGACGGGACAAAACGCGCAGCGCGTTGGACGAGGGGAAGAGGAAGGAAGAGGGGGGGGCAGGATGATTGGCGCGAAACGGCATGGGGGTGCGGGGCGCGACGCGACGGGGCGAAGTGGCGCCGCGTCGCGCGACGTGACGTGACCCCCACCGTGGCGCGACACGCACAGCCCCCAATCAACGCGAGGCGTCGTCGTCCTCAGCAACGGTTGGCGCCCCCGACAATGAGCACCAGCAAATCCCACCAGCCCTTTGGGCGTGAGTGGTTTAGCGAGCTTTCTCTGTTCTCAACCCCCCAACCCCCCTTCTTCCCCTTCGGGGAGGGGTTTACCCCTCCCCCCACCCCCTCCCCCTGGACCTGGAGAGCGGAGCCCGCGGGTCGTCAGGGTGGTCTTTTTCGACGCCTGGGAGGGCAAAAACAACTACGACCCTCACGAGGATTCTGGCTCCGACGGGGGACCCTCTTGTAGTACCCCCCTCTTCTGTTAAGCCAAAACCATTGTTTTTACGAGGGTGTTGGCCCCATTTTGGCCTCCCGAGGGGGCCGCGCTCATCTTCCTTCATCGCAAAATCGTTGATTTTACAATGGTTTTGGGCTCATTTTGTGCTTTTCAGGGGGCAGCGCTTCTTTGCGCTTCTGAGGATGTCGCAAGAGGCGCCAAGATGGCCCCAAGAGGCCCCCAGGAGCCTCCCAAGAGGCCTCCAAGAGGCCCCCAAGAGGCCCCCAAGAGGCCCCAAGAGGCCCCCAAGAGACCCCCCAGAGGCCCTCAAGAGGCCCCCAGAGGCCCCAGGAGGCCCCGAAGAGGCCCCCAAGAGGCCCCCAAGAGGCCCCCAAGAGGCCCCAAGAGGCTCCAAGAGGCCGCCAAGAGGCCCCACGAGGAGCCCGAACGACTCACACCAGGTCGAGGGGCCCGAACGACTCATACCACGAAGAACCCGAACGTCTCACGCCAGAAGGAGGACCCCGAACGACTCACACCACGACGCGCGCCTCGAACGACTCACACCACGAGGAGCCCGAACGAGTCACACCAGTACTACTACTACTACTACTACTACTACTACTACTACTACTACTACTACTACTACTACTACTACTACTACTACTACTACTACTACTACTACTACTACTACTACTACTACTACTACTACTACTACTACTACTACTACTACTACTACTACTACTACTACTACTACTACTACTACTACTACTACTACTACTACTACTACTACTACTACTACTACTACTACTACTACTACTACTACTACTACTACTACTACTACTACTACTACTACTACTACTACTACTACTACTACTACTACTACTACTACTACTACTACTACTACTACTACTACTACTACGACTACGACTACGACTACGACTACGACTACGACTACTACTACTACTACTACTACTACTACTACTACTACTACTACTACTACTACTACTACTGGTACTACTACTCCTACTACTCCTCCTCCTACTACTACTACTACTACTACTACTACTGCTGCTACTACCACTACCAGTACTACAACTGATCCTACTGGTACTACTTCTACTACTACGACTAGGAGCCGAAGAGGAGGAAGAGGAGGAGGGAGAGAAGGAAATGGAGGCAAGACAGAAGGCGGTCGTTCACCAGTCCTACACGTAACCGACTCTGTCGACTCACACGACGGCGACGTCCTGGACCAGAATGCATGTGGTGTGCGTCGTTGGGGCCCCTCGCCCTGGTGTGCGTCGTTCGGGCTCTTCCTTGTGTGAGTCGTTCGGGCCCCTCGCCAAACGACTCACACAAGGAAGGAGGGGCCCGAACGACTCTGTCCAGGAGGGGGGACCCGAACGACTCACACCACGAAGAGCCCGAACGACTCACACCACAAGGGGGAGCCCGAACGACTCATACCAGGACGAGGTGCCCGACCCATTCACACCACGAGGAGCCCGAACGACTCACACCACGACGCGGGCCTCGAACGACCCACACCAGGACGAGGCGCCCGACCCAGTCACACCACGAGGAGCCCGAACGACTCACACCACGTCGCGGGCCTCGAACGACTCACACCACGAGGAGTCCGAACGAGTCACACCAGGAGGAGGGGCAGCGCTCATACAAGCCTCCCCAGAAGGCCCCTGGAGGTCCACCATAGGGCCCCAAGAGGTCCCCAGAAGGCCCACAAGAGGTCCCCAGAAGGCCCACAAAAACACGACTGTCGGCATGCTTCGCAAGAGTTGCTGTTTTGAGATGGGCTGGTGGGGATACGCGAAGCGTGAAGAATTCTCTTGCGCCGAATTGGGAACAGAACGCGTTGGTGGACCGTCGAAATAGAGTGCGCCGCGACCGCCAAAATGGCTGCTGGTGCACCGGCGTCGGAAACCTATATATCGCCAGAGAAATTCCGAAGTCGCGCCATATGTCGCCCACGCACCCTGGGAGGCCGGGATTCGGGACAGAGACGCAAACCAGGGCCGGCGCACGGGCGACGCTCGGGCGACGCACTGAACGAAACTTGAAGGGGGGAGGTGGTCGCTTCACTGGGCCTTAACACTCCAAGAGGTCCTCCAGGAGGGCCCGAAGAGGCCAAAATCATTGATTGTCCTTAGGTTTTTGAAGGATTTTCGCATTCGCTTTTTCTCGGCTTTCCGACGACCCAACACGGTCCAAGAGGCTCCCAAGATCGCCCCCACAGCGCCCAAGAGGCCTCACAGATGGCCTCAGGGCTGCCCAAGAAGCCCCCAAGACGGCCCCAAGAGGGCACAGAGACGACCCAAGAGGCCTCCAAGACGCCCAAGATGGCCTCTAAGACGGCCCTGGAACACCCCAAGAGGGCCCCAAGTCGGCCCAGTAACGCCCCCCAAATGGCTTCCGACGGCGTCGGACGGGCCAGGGGCCCACCAAGATGGCCGAAGTTGGCTCGAAGCTGGCCCAAGACGGTCCAAGAGGCCTCCAAGAGGGTCTCCAGGAAGGCCAGAAAAAGTCAAAAAAACATATGTTCTATAGGTTCTTGAAGGATTTTGACATTTGCTTATTTTCTGCCTTCCGACAGCCTGATACGGCCTAAGAGCCCCCAAAGATCGCCCACAGATCGCCCAATATGCCTCTAAGATGGCCCCAGAACGGCCCAAGAGGCCCCCAAGAGGCCCTCAAGACGGCCCAGGAGGCTTTCAAGACGCCCAAGATGGCCTCCAAGACGGCCCTGGAGCATTCCAAGAGGGCCCCAAGTCGGCTCAGAGAGGCCCCCTAAACGGCTTCCGACGGCGTCGGACGGGCCAGGGGCCCACCAAGACGGTCGAAGATGGCACTAAGATGGCCCAAGACGGCCCAAAAGGCCTCCAAGAGGGTCTCCAGGAAGTCCCGGAAAGACCAAAGTCATTGATGCCCCATGAGTTTTGGAAGGATTGTAGAATTTGCTTTGTGTCGGCCTTCCGACGGAACGGCCCAAGTGCCCCCAAAGATCGCCCAAGAGGCCCAAAAGACGGCCCCAAGAGGCCCCCAAGACGGCCCAAGAAGCCTCCAAGTCGCTCAAGATGGCCTCCAAGACGGCTCAAGAGCCCTCCAAGACGTCCTCCAGGAAGGCCCCAAAGGGGCAAAATGGCCTCCAGGCGGCCGTGTTCCCCGAATACTTTCCAAACCGACTCGGGGAACACATGGGCCGATAGCTTGGCAGGTCTGGCCTCAACGTTCGGCCACATAGGCGCTTCCAAAAATGCAGGGGGCGGCGGTGATTCGCCGTAAGCGTCTTCGATACGGTGGGTCCGTGTAGTGACGGCATCAGTACCGGGTCCTGACTCCGCATGGATCGTTCAACCTTGAATGGTCTCGGCTTTTGCGGGGACAGCAAGCGACCGCAACCACATCAAGGACACAATCTGGGATGCCTCGCGCATGCCGAACATTGTCGGAACACCGAAGCCAGCTCTGTACTGGTTGTGGTCGATGTGGCGTCGCAGGACGGCCAAACCGACCACAGCCACAACCAAAGTGCTCATGTCTACTAGGTCGGTGGGTTCTCCCCCGAGGGGCCCTCCCGAAAAATCCACTTAGCTGTGGTTGTGATTCTTTGTTCTGCCCAGGTCAACGTCGGCCGACCCCGGGCCACCGGCGGCGTTCCTCCTTGAACGCCCGAGCCCTGCTGGCGCCGCGTGCTCCCAACAGGCCGTGCTGCCCGGCCAGACAGTGACAACAGAGGGAGGAGCAAGCAAGGGCCGCCCGCGCTGGGGCCGCCCGTCGCGTCGGCGCGACTCGGACCCACCGTAATGACAGGAGGGGGGAGCAGGAGAGTGACCCACAGATCGGGCGCAGCGATCGAACGCAGCACCGCGAAACATCGCGGCACGGAGCCCTTGGCCCCCACCTTCCGGCGGCACGTCTCGAGCCAGACTGGTACCGTGAGGGCCCCGGGGGCCCCGCGGCGGAGCGCAGACGCCCCCCCGGTGCGAAGAAGAGAGACACACGACAGGGCGCTGCCCGGACCTCGAGAGGGGGGCGGGAGGCGGAGCCGGAGGGGGGGGGGGTCGGGGGGGGAGGTGCAGAAGGGGGGGGCCGGGGACAGGTCGGGCATGTCCTCCCACAGGCGGACCTTGGAGGAAGAATGCAAGCAAGATAGTGAAAGACAAATCTAAACACAGTCAGAGGAGCTCGAAAAATCGTCACCATGCTATCTTTTAAACTCTTCTTGGACACTCCTCCCGTGGAGGGGCTGGGGCGCGGAGCTCCGCCCAGATGTCGTCCACCCCGCCGGCGGTCATGGCCCCGGCCGGCGGGGGACCGCGGAGGGGTGGGGCCGCCGCGCGGGGGCCCGACGCGCTCGCCGGCGCGCCCTGCTGAGGTCATGGCGGTCGGTTTCCCTCGTGCTCCTCCTCCTCGTCTTCGGCATCCGTCCGTCCGCCACCCCGAGACCCGCGACGGCATGATTTTGCAGTAACGTCGAAGCCAAGAGGCTTCAACCTCTGCTATCTTCCCCAGGACAGGTTCTTCGTCCCGAGTCGTTTTTTTACAGTCCCGAGCCCTGGTGAGGGTTCCCAAAAGCCGAAAGAGGCGAGAGACCTCCGTCGAGGGGGTGGGGCCCTCCGCCCTCCACCGTCCTCCCCCCTGCCCCGCCCCCCCCCCTCCTCCTCGCTCGTCCCTCCTGCAACCCTTCTCCGCCCTCCTCCTCCTCCTCCTCCTCCTCCTCCTCCACCCGCCTCTCGTGGGCGAGAAAACATGTCCGCATCCGCGGCCTCATGGGCCGGTCCCCTGGGCCGCGACCTCGCGGAGAAGGGGCGCTGCTTTGCGCGGATGCCCCGCGCGGAACTTGTCTGGGCGACCGCGTATCCGCGGGAGCGCGCTCTGGAGTTCAGGCTGCGAGGGCGCGGATACGGATGTTTGTTCGCCCCTCGTGAGCCTCCCTCCTCCTCGCGCGCCTACCTCCACCCTCGCCCCTCTTCCTCCCCCCTCCCACCCCGTCCCTGCTGTCGCTCCCCCACCCTGCCTCTCCTGGACCGGAAAAGGGGCTCAGAGCACGGCGCAACCGCCTCCCCCGCGGTGGGGCCATGGCCGGGAAGGGCGGCCTGCCGCCCGCGAGGCGCGGCACGCATCACATTCTGACTTGCTCCCCGATGCGTCTGCAGTGGGGGGGGCGCCGGCCCAAGGCCCAAGTCGATCGCCTGCATCCGCAGGACCGCGGCCCGCTCCGCTTCTCCCAGGAGAGCCGCCTCCACCTCTAGGGCGACGATATCTATACATATCCACTGCTCCCGGCCAGGCCAATCCTGGGCCCAAGAGCTGTGTATACGCCCTCCTGGCTTGGCCAGGGAGGCATATACACCGCTCCTGGGCCCAGGATGGGCCTGGCCAGGAGCAGTGGATATGCATAGATCTCGTCGCCCTAACCTCCGCGTCGAGTCCGCTCTTTGGCTGTCCAGCCGCTGCTCTCGAAGTCGAGGCCACGGGGCCCGCGGTCGGGAGCTCTGGCCGGGACAGCCCGGCCCGGGGCGTGCCGCCGCCCCGGCGAGGGCCGCGCGGGTGGCCCCCACGAGGCCGGCTCGGCGGCACACGCGCCGCGTGCCACTCGGCGGCACGCCGACGCCGCGCGCCGCGTGCCACTCGGCGTCGCAACGACGGATGCAGGCGTGTGTTTCGGTGGGGGGGGGAGACATCCGCCGCGGGCCCCGCCGCATGTCGTCTTCTTGCTCGGTCAGGTTTGCGTCTGTTGTGCCGTGTGACTGTTTCGCAGTGCGCTTGCTTTGCCTCCTGGGGCACCCTCGTCGACGCGGCTGGAGAACGCGCCCCTGGACAAGTCGGGAGGTACGACTTTGGGGGGATGGGAATGCTGATCTCTTATCGTCGAATAGTGCGCGCGTGTGTGTGTGTGTGTGTGTGTGTGTGTGTGTTTGCGTGCGCCCCAATTTTTTTAACTCCATTTTTTCCCCGACCGAGCAGAAAACTGCCTGCAGCGAAAACCAAACACCATTCCAAGTGATGGGGCCGCGGGCTCCAGGTGGCTCACGTATTCACGTTTGGCACTGCGCACTAGCGTTATCATTGCTTCGGTGCCTTATCATCCCGTCGGGGCGAAACTATCGTGGTAACGACTAGCACGCAGGGGTGAATTTTTAATGCCGTCGCAAATTGCAGTGGAGATATACCTCGCGGGAGCGTAGTGCACAGTAATGATGCTCAAGCTGCACAATGCCTGCCACATGAAGGGGCACCATTGAGAGTCTCCTCGGCGAAAAACCAACCAGTGCACGCGGTAAGATGCCTAGAGGCGAACTCGAAACCAAAATGCGGATCCCTGGAAACTGGCTTGCTAGATACGCTGCAGCACTCAACACGCCTGCAAAGAAACAGTGTTTCCCGTACAGAACAAGGGATGGAGCGCTGCTTGCTTCGACACACCACAGCGGATGCTCAAGGCAAGCAAGGCTTGCGATGACCATGAGCACATCAGATGAATGCGCCGCGCAGCTGGCTGACAGACCTTTTTGCGGCGCCATCGAATTGGTCAGCAACCTGCAAATGCGTCTACGTCAGGATCCACCGCTGATCTTACAACGGGGTACATTGCATTTCCTGAGCTGCAAATGCTGGCAACGAGGATCACGCAGTATATGATAATCGATACGTTTGACGATGAACGACACGAACATGCGATGTAACTGCCGAGTGCACGTACGCGAAGCTGAAATGGATATGAAGTTGCACCAGCAGTGAGAACGTCAATGCAAAGACAAGTCACCGACGGCTCTCAGACAAACTGGACATGTGTGTGCAACATCAACCCTGCCATCGCAATGCCAACCGCAGGTGAGAATGCGGAGCGACATGTAAGTGATTATGCGACATGCACGCTTTAAAAGGCAGCTGTCATGAACAAGCAGCCTGGCCTCAAGCAATCACTGGGTTCACCAGACTTGCAATGGCCAGCGCAGCAGCACCTGAGCAAAGTCAGCTGTGCTCTCTGCAAGATGGAAACAACAAGAGATGTTGGCCTGTCGCTCTAAACGCAAATTCCTGGATGAGATGGGGTAGTAATGACTATCTGGCTGCGTGGTTCATTACATACCTGCTGGATTAAGACCACACCGGCGAGGCTGAACAGCTGTTCAGCAACCACGGCTCTCCTCGCCTGCGACAGGAAGGGGGCACGAAGGTGTCCAAGTATGCGGTGGTACTCCTCCCATCGGCTCTGCCCGTATCATCTGCCTGACCTCACTGAGTGCGTTGGCCCTCTTGCAGGCAGCATCAACCCACTGCTTGATCAAAGCATCCCTGCTTGCAGCCCAGATGACAATATCAAGCCTGGAAGTTCGCACATGATGTGTGCATGTTGGTCTCCCTTTAGTCCCTCGCGCGGTGCACGACTAAAGATGCTACGCGATCCCGAACGGGCCTACCCTTGAAGCTCGGTCGCCTCGTCCGAGGAGCGGGGGCAGGAGGGGGAGAAGGTGAAGGACGGGGGATGGAGAGGACAAGAGGGAAGGGAACCGGCGGCGAATGAGGTAGAGGAAGAAGGCTAAAAGGAGGAAGAGGAGGAGGAGGTGGAGGAGTCGGAGGACCGGGGATAGACAGGGAGAGGGGGAGGAGAAAAGGAGGAGGAGGAGGAGGCAGAGTACGAGGAGGAGGAGCAGGGGGAGCTGGAGGGGAGGCACAGGAGGGGGATGATGAGAAGAAGGGGGGAGAAGAGAGTGGAGGGTCAAACTAGGTGCGCTTGCGCCTCATCTGATAGTATATCCCTTCTTCCCATCCCTTCCACTGGCGCTGATTTGTCTCTATACGCGGACGCGTGTCATAGCCGACCTGCGACTCCCACAAAAAGACCACTTCGCATTACGAGCAGTAGTACAAAAGGGAGCTGCATGCACAGGAAGAGGTGGCGGGTGAGCAGGAGAATGAGCGAGAGGAAACATGATGAGGACCAACAGCAGCAGCAGGAACTAAAGCAGAAGGATCGGGAGGAAAAAAAAACAGGGAAGGCGGAGGAGGGGAAATGAGGGGGTCGACAACGATGGAGAAGACTCGGATTCAGAAAAGTGGCCCGCGCTGGGGCGGAACGAACAGCAGCAGCTGGAACTGGAGTGGAAGGAGCGGGAGGAACAAGACGACCAGGGGAAGGCGGAGGAGGGGAAATGAGGGGGGGACCACAATGAAGCAAGACTCGGATCCAGAGAAGTGGTCCGCGCTGGGGCGAGAACGCCATTCAGAACGACGGGAGCGCAACGCCGATCCGAAAACGAGGCCCACACTGCAGCGGGAGCACAATATTGAAACACCGAAAACACTCGGATTGTAAAAAAACGGGGAATCAACTTTTGAAGTCCCCTGAAGAAAATATCAGCCAGCGTTGACTCCAAATAGATAGGAGGACAGGAGGAGGAAGAGAGGAGGATGGGAGGAGGACGAACGGAGGACGGTAGAAGGACGGGAGGAGAACGGGAAGAGCAAAATCAAGCAAGCAAAATCAAGCAAGCGCAAGCAAGCAAGCGGAAGCAAGCAAGCGCAAGCGAGCAATAACAAGCAAGCAAGAGCCAGCGGTCAAGTGCAAGCAAGCAAAGGCAAGCAAGAGCAAGCAAGCGAGAGCAAGCACGCAAGAGCAAGCAAGGGGTGCCACTGGAAAAAGGGGGGAGTCCTAAAGACCAATTACTTATGATGAGCTAGGACTCCTATAGGGCAAGCCTTGTTGGAGAACAACACGCGGAGGGGAAGGAGATCTTCTGGACAACTTCAGGGGAGGAGGGATAGTAATGCTCGCATTGCTTTATTCGTGGAGAGAAGGGGCAGAGAAGGAGGGAGGGGAGGGGATGGACGAGGAAGGCCAGGAGGAGGGGGGGAAGGGGATGAGGGAGCAGGAATTGAGGGCGGACCGCCCTCCGGAGCCTGCTCTCCGGACGCTCTCCCTGCACAGGCGCCCAGCCCTGCGGCCTTCATCCCAGCGCGCCTGCAACGGCGGCGGCTCTGGCGCCCTGCTCCCCAAACCCCTTGCGCCGACGCCCGCGCCTCGGCCACCGTGGCCCCTCGCGCACTGCGGGGGCCCCGCGGCCGCGCCGGTGGGCAAGCAGGCTGGGTCCTCCGCCTCCGCTTCCGACAGCGCGGGCGTCGCAGAAAAAAACATGTGCCCTGCTTTTTGCCAGCGTCGGCCCCGACCGGTGCGCAAATGCACTCTGAATGCGGAAGTACCGCCTACAAACATATGTGCTCACCTCTGTAAAATAACATTTATAGGTAAGGTGGACGGCGTGGCAACGCGTAGTCATGCTAATCCTGGTAACATTTTGATTACGCACGCCTTCAGGTAATGTCTAACCGCGTTTATTGTTATACCAAAAATCTGGGGAGAAAGTTCAAAATTAGTTATTCCCAGCGCTGTACTGCACAAGTAGAAAACAAAAGGAAGGCGGGGCAAGCTGGACCGCCAGGGACGTCCCCGCGACCGCCCTGGCGCTCCGCGTGCAGAGGCGGAATACTGCGCACCTCCTTTTGGCGTCAGGCCACGCCGGCCACGCCCTGCGATCTTGGGGCTCTGGGAGCAAACCAACATAAGGCCATTCAGCCTCACAAAAAGCAACGGGTTACACGTGTCACCCCCGGAACCGCGTGAAAAAACACAAATTGTAAATTTGGGATTCTGGGTGTCAACATAAGGCCATTCATCCTCGCAGAAAACAGCGGGTGACATGACACGTGCCACCCCCGAAACCGCTTGAGCAAAATTCGAATGTAAATTCAGGGTTCTGGGAGCCAACATAAGGCCATTCAACTTCATACCAAAGCAACGGGTGACACGTGTCACCCCCGTAACCGTGTGAGAAAAAATCAACTTGCAAAGTTGGGATTCCAATAGCCAGCATAAGGCCATACAGCCGCGCAAAAACAACGAGCGACACGTGCCACCCCCGAAACCGCATGAGAATTGTAAATTCTGGATTCTGGGAGCCATCATGAGGCCATTTAGCCTCACAGTAACAACGAGTGACGCGTGTCACTACTACTACTACTACTCTACTACTACTACTACTACTACTACTACTACTACTTCTTCTTCTACTACTACTACTACTACTACTACTGCTATTACTTCTACTACTACTACTACTACTACTACTACGACTACTGCTATTATTACTAGTGCTACTACTACTACTACTACTGCTACTACTACTACTACTACTACTACGACTACGGACACTAATACAATTACCCCTACTACTACTGTTACTGCTACTACTACTACTACTTCTACTACTACTACTCCTACTACTACTACTACTACTGCTACTACTACTACTACTAATACAACTACTACTACTACTACTACTACTACTACTACTACTACTACTACTACTACTACTACTACTACTACTACTACTACTACTACTACTACTACTACTACTACTACTACTACTACTACTACTACTACTACTACTACTACTACTACTACTACTACTACTACTAACTACTACTACTACTACTACTACTACTACTACTACTACTACTACTACTACTACTACTACTACTACTACTACTACTACTACTACTACTACTACTACTACTACTACTACTACTACTACTACTACTACTACTACTACTACTACTACTACTACTACTACTACTGACTACTACTACTACTACGACTACTACTACTTACTACTACTACGACTACTACGACGACGACGACGACGACGACGACGCGACGACGACGACGACGACGACGACGACGACGACGACGACGGCGACGACGACGACGACGACGACGACGACGACGACGACGACGACGACGACCGACGACGACGACGACGACGACGACGACGACGACGACGACTACTACTACTACTACTACTACTACTACGCTGTGAGAACACTGGCCACCGGTGGAAACTGCAAATTGCCCGACAAATCTCCGAGCATGCTCCCAGACGGTCCGAGTACTCGTCCTGTGGGGGAGAGGAAGAGAGAAGGACGCACGAAGGCAAAAACAGGACGCACGAGGAGCGGGGACGAGAGTCCTGTTTCTCATCCGCGCTCTACTGATCCACCAACCTCTCATGTCGCCCTCCTCGCCGTCAATCTTCGTCCCCTCCTCCACTTAGTCCTCCCATAGCATCCCCTTCCCATCCTCATCCTCTCATCATCCTCCTGCTGTTCCCCCCTCCTCTCCGGTTCCTTCTCCTCCTCCGCCGCGGCCTCCTCCTCCTCCTCCTCCTCCTCCTCCTCCTCCTCCTCCTCCTCCTCCTCTTCCTCCTCCTCATCCTCCTCATCCTCCTCCCGTCCTGCAATCCTCCCTCTCCTTCTCCCCTCCACCTCCTCCTGCTCCCAAAGTCGCACTCCTACCTCCTCCTGATGCGCGAGATGCTGGGCCGTGGGCCTCGCTCTCGTGTGCTCGGCGCCACGCATTATCACGCGGCCTCCGGACCAGCGGCGTCTGCCTGTGCCGCGCCGAAGAGGAACAGGGCAGGGGAGGAAGGACACACTGAGGGCACAATGGGTAGTACGTAGCACCCCGCAGATGCGGATAAGAGTGAGGGGGCGGTGGGGACGTCGGCAGTCTGCGAGACTCTGGAGAAGCCCGCAACAGGCGCCAAAGTTTCACAAATTATACAACGAGCTCGCCGCAGGCGCCGATTTTTTCTTCAAACCAATGTGGATTGGTCGCGGGTGGGTCGCGGGGTGGGTCGCGGGGTGGGTCGCAAGTGAGTCGCGGGTGGGTCGCGGGTGGGTCGCGGATGGGTCGCGGGGTGGGTCGCGGAATGGGTCGCGGGGTGGGTCGTGGGGTGGATCGCGGGTGGGTCGCGGGGTGGGTCGCAGGTGGGTCGCGGGTTGGGTCGCGGGTGGGTCGCGGGGTAGGTCGGTAGCGGGTGGGGTCGCGAGGTGGGTCGCGGGGTGGGTCGCGGGTGGGTCGCGGGGGGGACGACGACAACAAACAACAAACAGCAACAGCAAACAACAACAACAACAACAACAACAACAACAACAACAACAACAACAACAACAATCATTTTACCCGAACGCGTGGTGTTCTCCCCAGTGCCAGGGTTTTCATACGACACCAGACAATACCCCCACTTCGTGGGGGGGCATTACAAGCTCTACCAAATATCCAAACGACTCTTCGCGACCACCCAAACCCAGCTTCCCGCCCTATGACGTTGGGACACTTCACTTCGTGGCGTGCGGACGACCGTGGCTACTACACTGGCGTGGGGTACACACCCACAGAACTTGGTCACTTATTCGGGGCGCGCATGTGCCCAGCATGGTGCAATTGTGCCATACAATACATAATACAGAGAGACAGAGAGAGAGACAGAGAGCAGACAGAGAGAGAGACAGAGAGAGCGGAGTTGGTCACATTTTTGGGTCAAGTTCCTGGGATGATGGGAATACACAACTCTGTTACATTTGATAGTGTGCACGACACACATGAGATGATACGTACTCGCAAGATAGTTGGTCACATTTGTGGAATTCCTGGGCGGATGTGGGGATACACAAATACCTTTGTTACCAGTGCTAGACATGGTACAGACACTGAGAGAGAGAAGGCGAGACAGAGGAAGAGAGCGGGAGAGAGAGAGACAAAGAGAGAGAGACAGAGAGAGAGGAGTTCGTCACATTTTTTCATCAAATTCCTGTGCCGAAGTGGGAATACGCAAAGGCATCAGTTGCATATGACCCGTAGGGTACATGGTACACATGATCATGGTACGTACAGCTGTTTTTCGAGGACCTACGGTGCGATTCGTGTGATTTTATGATGCGCGGTGGTAAAATTCTTAAGAACCCAATGGTTTTTGGAGATTTCGGCGTGCGCGCGCGAAGAAAAAACGAATCTGTCCCGCATGGTATTATTTGACAGGGATGATGGCCCTGGCAGGTGCGCAACCGTTGTCGCAGAAGTTCGAAAAAGTTGCTCGCAAAAGCCCGTTTGACAGAAATGTTGAAAAAGTGTTGGGTTTCCTACGAATCCGCAAGAGCGCGCGGGATGAGATTTTGACATTTTTTTGTTGAAAAACCATTAGTTTTTTGATGTTTTTATGTTGAAATCGTTCCGAACACTAAGCTTTTGGAAGGATTTCGTCTTGCGCGCGCGAATGTCCACTTTACCTTATTTTTTGCAAAGGATTCTTGAAATTTGATGATATTAGAACAAGAAATGTCATTTTATAGTGTTTTTGCAAGGGGAAGCGGGGGGGAACAAAACAACCGGATCTTGGTCACATCGAATTACCTGAGGCTTCCTCACGAAAATGATGAAAATGTAGCTGCGGCCTAGGCGGCGCAGGGGGGCCGTGCACCAGGGGTCCCAACAATAATTATTCTTTAGAATTAATAATGTTCAACAACAACAACAATCATTTTACCCTCATGCGCCATGCTTCCACATGACACATGCATCCATCTGGATAACACACCCCATCATGGGGGATTTTTCTGGCATGCGGGATCCGATATTCCCTCACCCAGATATCCCGCCCAAGAAGGTTTGGCCACCACCTCTTCCGAGGAACTTCAACATCCATAGCTCGGACGGCACATCGCCTTCGCAATCGCCTTGCGCATGCCCCGCATCTCAGAGGGAGAGGAAGAGGAAGAGGAGGGGGAGATGAGAGAGATAGGGAGGGGGAGGAGGAGAAGGGAGGGGGAGGAGGGGGAGGAAGGATGAGTAGTTGTAGTAGCAGCAGTTGATGATATTGTTGTTGCGGCTGTAGCACTAGTAGTAGTGGCAACGGTAGTAGTAGTCCAAGTAAGTAGAACTGGCTTGTGGCAGCCAAGCGTTCATAGCGACGTTGCTTTTTGATCCTCCTTTAATGTCTTCTCTCCCTATCCTTGAGACGCAAAAGTTTCAAAAAGTTGGATGGTTCAGCACATCCAGGAAACCTATCGCTGGACCGGCCCAGATATGGTTCCAGAAGCGGCTCGGGAAGCTGCGCAGGCGCCAGAAGCAGAGAAGCACCACGTACGGGCGCCGGCTCGGGCGTCCGGCCCAAAGCCGCTCCAGAATCGGCCCAGGACGGCTTCCCGGGCGCCGCAAGCAGAAATTCAGCATTTTCGAAAGAAAAATGTGTATTGGAATGGCCTCTTTTCGGCGCGATCGGAACTGCCCGGGCGTCCGGCCCGGGAGCCGGGCCGGGTGCCGGCCGGGCCGGGTGCCGGCCCGAGCTCCGGAATCGGCCCGGACGGCCTCCCGGGCGC